TTTTTTCCAGTGTTACGTACACTCAAATGCTGTCATTTTGATCACAGCCTTTTTACTGAAGTAGAGGTGAAGGTTGCAAAGATGGTAATGCTAACTTAGAAGAGTATGCTTAGATAGCCGGGAACTGGAGGGAAGAAAGATTGCTTTTAAAGCACTGTGTGTTAATGAGTAAAGTCTAAATTGGTAACTGATATTGTAGCAGGTAAAGCAAGTGAATTTAATTTGCAAACTGATGAGATGTAGTCCTCTTTACATCTTCTCTGTGTGAAAAATCTGAAGTATTTGGCCAGTATCTGAAATATTATTTTCTCCTGTGCTTTGACTGTTGGATAGCTTACAAAAAGAAAAGTCATTGTATAGAAACTTTTTCCTTCTCTTTTGGAGTACAGATTCACGTCCATTTCCCCAAAGATAGGTGAAGTAAGCTTTACTTGGCATATTCGTGTATGTAGGTTTTGTCCATCATTCTGAAACTTGCTAGTTGTTTTTGTCTTATTTGAACTTTCTAGCCCAGAGTGTTGATTAATTCCAGACAAAGTCAGGGAAACATGTGAATTCTTTTAAGAGCTCCAGATGAAAATGTGTGTAAAACAATGGTGTTTATTTATCATCAGTTGGTGATACTTGTCCTGTAGAATTGTTGCCCTTGTGACTCTCTTGGAGTCACATGTTACTGTCTTTTGTGGTTTGTGTAGCATCAAATGTACAGGCAAGACTTGCTTTAAAGCATGTATATGCTGCATAATCTTTCAAAATGGCTATTTTTAATTTCTTGGATTGAAGAGGGAAGGACAAGCTCCAGCTATAGGAGAGAAAAGAGAGATTAAACACTTACTGTAGTTCCGTGGTGCAGTGCTAGTACCTGAACCACAGGCTCTTCAGAAGCACAGGCAGCATTTCTGAGCTGTGCCTCTGGTGGTGTGAGAACCTGAGTACGCTGTAAGAAAAAAGGATTACTTTCTTTTTCTCCCAAGGGAAAGTAGTTGATTGAAAGTTGACTAGGAAGTAAGTGAGCACTGGAAAATCCCCTCTGCTTTCTGGCTCGCCGTCTGACAGAGGTTTGAGGTATGCAGGGTTTGATTTATAACCTCTCCGGGAAGTTGGGAAATCTGACAAAGATAGTGCTGCCCACTAACACTGGGAGAAACAGGAAGTAACAAAGGAAACAAGTCATTGCCTAGGCGTCCCTTTTGGCCACAGCACGGTGCAGATGCACAAGCAGTTGGGGCAGGGTTTCTGTTTCTTTTGTGTGTTGAGCGTAACAGCAGCTATCGCAGTCACTCCCAACCTTATACACGAAATGGGAGAAGTGCAGAGATGTTCCTGTCATGCCTGAGAGGGGTCATAAGTTATTAATGGCTTTGGCATCACAAAGAAAACAATCATTCGGTGAAACTGTCAGGAGAAAAACTATGTGTCGGTCAGGCACAATCACCAGGTTAGTGCATATTTGTGGCTTGTATTTCTGTCATCTCTTCTCTTTTGGTTAGAGAGCAGACTAAAACTAAGAGTAGAATATTGTATCTGGGGTAAAATACTTCTAGCTCATGCAGAAAATTCAAGGGTAAACATTTGCCAGAAAAGAAAAGCAAGTTGAAGCAAGTTAAACTGAGTAAGCCTACAACAGTGTATCTCCGTCGGGCTTGCTTCTCTGTTCCCTTTGTCCTGCAAGATTTATTTGACTTCCTGGTGTTTGTACTGTGCTATTATGAGACACTATTGTGAAAGGGGCTGTTAGAAGTATTAAGAAATGGAATGTGTAAGCAGAAAAGTAGGAGAGATATGGAAGCATATTTCAGAAATACTGGAGAATGGTTAATAAAGGGAAAAGAGACCCAAATATTTTGCATAAAGCAGTTTTAAGAACAGGTGTTAAATGTTTAGATGTTTGAATCAGAAAACTAGTTTTTGTTCAGAATTGCTAAGAGCACATTGGGGAAGTTTTCGTTTTACAGTTTTGCTATTTGTAATGCTGCCTCATTTTTGGTTAAGCCCTTTGTAGAGACTGAAACTTCAGTGTCCTTCTGCATTACATGAGGAATGCATTAGTTTCTGTAAGTTATATATTTTATATGTAATGTTATATGTAAGTTATATACTCAGAAGGAAGGTAGCATCTTGTTTTGCTAGGTTTTACTTTCAAAATACAATTTGAAGACTAGAAGTTATGAGATATTATGGAGTTTAAGAAGTTCTCAGACATAATTGGCATAGAGATTCTTGTTACAAATTCAGATCAGGTTTAATTTTTGTACTGCAGCTTTGGAGGCTGATTTTTTTTGTTTTCAGCATGACCAAACTGGGCTCCAGGACAGATCATAAATATTATTATAACAAGTGAGAACTTTTAATGCTACTTTTGGCAGCTGTAGTTTCAGAGATGAGGGTAATGTGTTTTTATGGTATATGCTGCAAGATGTGGAGGTGATCACATCTGCCATATGTTCTGCTGAAGTTGAGCAAGAAGTGAGGACTCATGGCTCTTCCAGGATGCAATCTTTAGTTGAGTCAGCTTGCATTTGCTTTATTGGGGCTGAACGCCAATAGCTCTTAAGGCCAAAAGCAGTGTTTTTCTATAATGTAATCCAGATTTTTAATGTGGCAGAATTTTATTTTTACTCATGGAGAGACTTTTAGCCTATGAAGTTGTGCCCTAGCCTCCAATCTAGCTATTCTATATATGCTGACTGAGTATAGGTTAAAATGACTTCACAGATATATACATTTGCATACTACACAATAACAGAGGTCTACTCTCCATTTGGAGTTTGAGCTTGGTAACAGTATTATTGTGATTTAGAAGAAACTTCTGAGTTGGACTGGTATTATTTGGTTACACGATGGAGTGTGTAATTTCACATTTTTTGGTGCTGTTTTGACTTTCATGGTACTTTATCACAATGGGCTGGTTTTTTAGTGTTTGAGAAAAGAATACTCATGATAGATCTGGACTGACTTGATTGGTATGTTAACAATACACTGCAAATTGGTTTGGTTTTCAGTCTGGCAGACCAGTTTGTATATATTAAACAATTAGAACAGTAGTTTTATAAGCTCAGTATCACGCTGGAGAGTGCTAACTGCTCTGTTCTGTCTTTCCAAAAGCATTGTTGAATGACAAAGTGAATCCTATAAACTGCTGTTCCACCATTTCTCCTCCTACACTCTAAGGCCTGTCATCTCCCTCACAGGCATAGAATTATCATGGGGATCATCTGAGAAACAAAGTGATGCAAGGCCTTTCACCGTCTGCTGCCATCCTCTTCTGGTTCAGAGGGTTCCATTCAGTGCTGTTTCAATGGGGGAGAAAGATGATTTGATAGCCACTTATAATGGGTTTTGGGGCTTGATGGAAGACTTAATTTAAAAATATACATCTAGTCCCTTGGTAAGTGGGAAGAAGAATAAAATGCGTAGCTATTACTAAGAGATTGAACAAAATAATGCATGAATAATGTCACCTTCTGTTTGTACCACAGGACTGGTGTCAGAAAGCAAACAGGGCTTGGCTCTGATTGCACTAAGCGGGCCCTTTCTGTTAACTTAATTGTCAGTGCTGTGGAAGAGACTTATGTACCTGGGGTGACAATGTGTAGTGGGGTCTTTGGCGTGTAGTGCAAGAATATGACTGCATAAGAAACAACTTGGAAATATCTTTCTGTTCTTCATGATCATGGAGCTAATAGGTTCTAAAGTGACTTCAGTGCTTGCTGTCGATCTGTTCTTCATGTAATGGATCAAAAGAATTATATGAGGATTATCAAGACTGGAAGGAACAATTTCAGTGAGCTAAAGGCAACCATGTTGTAGATGCTGAGATCTGAAAAATCTTCAAGAGCATCTATTTTTCCTTCTTCCCACCCCTACAATAAAGATCATGCAGTCACATTGTTTTGACAGCTTTCTCCCAGCAGCTTGATGCAAAATAGCATCTAGTGTTATATCAGGTTTGTTCTGTACTTTCAAGAAAAGAAGAAAATCTGCTTGGGACTAATTCAACGTACTTAAATGGGTTTGAGAAGCCTAACTCAAACATTTCAGTTTGGAATACCAAAATCTTCCCTACATGTCTGCAATGTGTCTGCAAATGAAAGTGCTTGAGGAATCTGCGGAGGTGATAAGGAGTGCTATAAGCCACAGGGAGATCCAGAAAATAGGTGTAGCAGCCTCTAAATCTATTGAAAAGACCGGTATATTAGGTGGGCTCTGCGTGCTTGGTTCTGTGGAGTTCAGCCACATCTCCTTTTATTCACTTAGCTGGGATGGGGAAGTTCTGGGGTTTGGTCTCTATTCTCAGTATTGTTTTATAGTGAGTAATCAAAAGTAAGAAGTGTTCATGAATAGAGGAAGCAAAACCTGACATTCTGCTGTCCTTCCCCCTCAGTTAAATCCTGTAGTCATCACCTTGTAGAACTGATTTTTTTTGTGTGTGTGTTTTTTACCACCCCCCTGGCTTGCTCCTCTGCTTCCATGATTTATTGATTTTTTTTTTTTTTTTCTGTCTGCCTGATATTCAGGCTTTTCAGGTGGAGGAGAAACTGCCCCATCAAGGCACACTTTAATGATTAGTCCAGCTAGTCTATTCCCACACAGAAGGCCAACATGACCTAGTCAAATATTTGTTTTCTGTATTGACCTAGGGTGGGATACCCTTGTCCCTGGTATTTGTCATTGGCTTCCTAGAAATCTGAGCTTACTGGTTGTTTTGGATAACCTCTCTGAGACATTTAACTCTGCCTCTTCTGATATATTTTCAACCTAAGTACATAACACTGAAACAGTTTCATACCAAAGGCTAGGCCCTGAAGTCCTTTCTTGTTCTGTTCTTTGTAGTAAAAGCACACAGGATTTGAAGACCCATGATGAACTTGAACCTGTTGGATGGCATTGAGACTAATGTTAAAGTTAGATCAAAAAAACAGAATCAAAGTATATTTGTCTGAATAAAGAGGTTCCATTTTTACTTGATCTTTTTTTCAGAATATAACTAGAAACAGACTGAAATAACTTAATAATAAATTAATTTCTAATGTTTGAATGTTGATATGCCTGTTCTTAAAAGAAAAATTTAGCCCAGAACTTGCCTTTGCATTCCTCATTTCAAGGAAATGACTCTTAGCAATACTGCAGTGTGGTTTGGTGTCAGCAGCCAGCTGGTTAGCACTCTTCATTTCCTCGCTTTGACTATTCTGCAAGATGTGGAGAAATAATTTGGAGGA